AAGAAAATCAAAACACAAAAAACATATAAAATTATGAAAATAAATTCGTAATATTAAAAAAAAAGCCATTTTTCAGATCCTTCTATATGTTCTTCTCCCCATAAACCCTTCAAATCTGGTCCTTCTCTACCTCCTCCCCTTTATCTCTTGGATTTTAATTAGCATTTTTTTTCTGGGTTTTCCTCTTTTTTTTTCTTCTGGGTTTTGTGGCGCATGCAGAGTTAAATTTCTTTTTCTTTTTTCTTTTTTTTTCTTCTTCAGGGTTTTGTGTTTTTAGTGATTTAGGTTGAAGAGTTTATGCATTTTTCGGGAAACTGAGACTCTGGGCGTTTTTCAAAGCTCGAATTTGGTTGAGAATGGAGGGCTGAGGAAAACTACCTAACATGCTGAGCCTCTGAGTGTTTTTCAAAGCTCGAATTTAAATGTATTAAATTGTTATGCTACAAGAATCATGTGTCCATAGGTTATTGGTGAGGAAGACCACATGTCATTTTGAGGTGTGTATTCCAATCACATGAAAACATTTCTCCTTGATGTGGGGCATGGAATATCTTTTGGTTTTTGTTTGTTTTTTTACCAGGATAAGGTAAAAGTCACTATGTTGTCCAAAAAATTAAAAAGGGTAGAAGTCACTATGAAACTCGTGGTCATGACAGTCGCCTTGTTTTGGAGAAATTTTTGGGAGTGACGGGAACACCACCTCAACAAAGCTAGGTGGTGTTCCCAACCTATTAAATGTTGACATCTAGATGTTGTCATTTGTTAACTTAAAAAATACTTGAAAAAGTTGAAAACTCAAAAACCAAAAGATTCCTCATAACTCTGTTAACATCTCCGTTTCTTTGTTTCAAATCAAAAGCTTCTTGCGAACTTCAAGGGAAGTTGCAGACTCAATTCCCTCTTCTTTCTTTGAAAAATAACAACAATTCCCTCCATTTCTCACATACTCAAACCTAGACCAAGGTATTATGGATGGAGACTCAAACCCAGACGAAAGTAGCTTTCTGCAGGTAGACTCAAACCCAAATGAAGGTAGCTTTCTGCAAGTAGACTCAAACTCAGACGAAGGTATTTGATTTTGCCTTTTAATAAGTTGTATGTGTGAGCTCTTAAACATTTTGCATGATTATAGGACACTGCTTTTTTGCTCTTGGCCATGATATTAGTTTTTAATAAAATTTGATTATTGTTGATCTCCTAATGAATAATGCAGTCATTGATGTTGAAAGCAATGTAGAATATTCAATGCAATGCTCGAGAAAAAACTCCACCTATTGTAAGTCTTAAAGAGAGTTACGCTGGAGATTTGTATGGAAAGATTGTGAAAAATGAGCAAGAAGCTTATGATCTCTATAATTAGTATGCAGTACACATTGGCTTTAGCATTCGAAAGAAACAAAGAAGATTGACAAAAATGGAGATCTTTCAACACTTAATTTTTATTGTTTAAAAGAAGGTTTTCGGCAAGATAGAGACCCTTGTGAAGAGAAAAAGACTAAGAGATTGGACGAGAGAACAGGCCGCCAAGCCAAAATTTGATTTTTACTAGAACATGGTGAGTGGAAAGTCTCTACCTTTGATCCTGAACACAATCATGAACTTGCAATGCCAGAGGAAAGACAATTTTTAAGATCAAATCGTAAAATTTCAGAAGCTCATATGGGTGTGATTAAAACCATGGCGAATGCAGGTATAAGAACTACAAATGCGTACTCATATTTAGCAAAAGAAGTCGGCGGGTCTCAAAATGTTGGGTTTACGAAAACAGATTGCTACAATTTTGTTAGTAGGGAAAAAAGAATTATGCTTAAAGCAGGGGATGCTCAAAGCTTGATTAATCATTTTAAGCGCAAGCAAGCTGCAGGTCCAATGTTCTTCTACACGGTGCAAGTTGATCAAGAAAACCGAATGACTAACTGAGGGATGGAAGGTCCATAATTGATTATGAGTGCTTCGGGGACGTAGTAGTATTTGATACTACATATCGAACCAATAAGTACAACATGATTTGTGCTCCTTTCGTTGGAGTTAACCATCACTGGAGCAATGTGTTGCTCGGTTATGCCTTTTTGTTGGATGAGAAGACTGCTACATTTGAATGGTTGTTTAAGGCATTCTTAGAATCAATGGGGAATCGAAAGCCTACAACCATTTTCATTGACCAGTGTCAAGCTATGGCAAATGCCATTATGGTGGTGTTTTCTGGGACATGCCATCATTTATGCACATGGCATATATCAACACATGCTACAAGAAATATACCAACACTTTATGGAATCCCTGAGTTCAAAAGGCTATTCAACAAGTGTCTTGACGGATGTCAAACAGAGTTAGAATTTCAGCATACTTGGGATGCAATGATTGAGGAATTTAACGTTGCACAAAACAAATGGCTTAAAGGTCTTTATGCCATTTGTGAGAAGTGGTGTCCAGTGTTTAGCCAAGATGTATTCTCTGTGAGGATAAAATCCACACAAATAAGTGAGAGCATGAATAATGTTTTCCATCGTATGTCTACTAAAACGATGACTCTTACTGAATTTGTGCTTCATTATGAAAAACAAGCAAATGGCATGCGTTCAAAAGAATTAGAAGAAACCTTTCGTTGCAAGCAAGGTTTGCCTTTTACAACAGCTAAAAATAATGGTTTTCTTAAACGTGCTGCAAGTGTCTACACGAGAAAAAATTATAAATTTCTTGAGTATGAGTTTGTTAACCACTAATGCACATGCCTGTTTCCCTTCATCTAATGTAGTTGCAAAAGGTTTGAATCCATGGGTTTGTTAACCACCAATGCACAAAACAGTTTATGTTGTCAAATTCAACTCCTCAACTTTCAACATCTCGTGTAGTTGCAAAAGGTTTGAATCCATGGGTTTGTTATGTCGTCATGCTCTACGGGTAATGAATGTAAAAGAAGTTTCTCAAATACCAAATCAATACATATTGAAGCGGTGGACGAAAGACGCAAAGAAAGAATGGAATGAAAATGAGCATGGAGAATCTTTACATGTAAGTGACAATTCGTCAGTGACGTTGCGTCAGAATACTTTGATGCGGATTGCTTATGGTATATTGAGTATGGGAGCTGAGATAGAAAGTTGTCATAGAATTGCAATGAAAAAATTGAAAGAAATGGCACAATTGCTTGACAAAGAAATGAAGTCAAATGGGGAAGAAATTGCTAATAAAGAAAGTAATGACGTTTTGAATGATGCTACTATTCGTGATACTGATGGGGTCAATAACTCATCTGATGAGGCACCGGTGTTGAATCCTCCGAGTGTGAGGCCAAAGGGAATAAGTAATGCTAGATTGAAAAGTCATATGGAGAAATGTAAAAAGAAGACATCAAATGTTACTGGCTTATCTAGTAAGAAACTTGTACATTTTAAATGTTTACATTTGTGTTATTCTTTTGATATATATATTAATAGTAGTTGTTGTTATTTACTTGTTCAGAGAAAACCAAACCACCAAGTAGTGGTGGTCCTTCACATACCGTCAATGCCAATGCTCGTTCCCCTTCAACTAATCTGGTAACTAATTTGTATGTTTGATTTGGTTTTTCTATATACATGTTGTTTACTTATTCATATTCGATATTCGATATCGATCAATTTGTTGTAGTTCTATCCAACTATGACAATGCCAACTGCCAATTCCCATGCTTGTTTCCCTTCACCTAATCATGTAAACTAGTTTATATTTTTGAGCAAGATTTTATAGATTTTGTTCGATTATTCATGTTCCATATCGTATCAATGTTTGTAGCTCTATCCAACACTGAGTTTGCTAACCACCAATGCACATGCTCGTTTCCCTTCATCTAATCAGGTAAACTAGTTATATGTTTGATTAAGTATATTTTATATATTTATTTAATTATTTATGTTGGGTCTCGTATCAATGTTTGTAGTTCTATCCAACCACGAGATTGTCAACCACCAATGTCCAGACTAGTTTGCCTTTATCTAATCAGGTAAACCAGTTTATAGGTTTGAAATTTGTGTTGGTGTTCTCAATATTTATATATTACAATTTTCTTTTTTCTTTCAGAGTCTCAACTATAGTTGGTCATGTTCCCCACCAAACTTTACCTTCACCAATGTGCTCCAAAGTCAAAACTATATGACACATTTGAATCAGGTATTATGTTTTTCCTTCTACCCTTTGCTTTGAATTAGGTATTTGTGTAAATTCATTGTTGAAGTTAAATTCTATGTAATGCAGGATGTCTTTCCTTATGACATTGAGGAACATCAAGATGCTTGTAACTCCTAATTCTGATAATTTTAGACTTCACATCAAGATTTCAGTGGTTTTGACAAACATCAAGTTCATGAGAGAATGTTTTCTTGTTGTACTATGTCAGACTTGTTATCATAAATCTGAAGCTCCATAATTTGACATTAGAATATGTAGCTTGGAAGTTTGGAATTTGACATTAGAATACATGTAACTTGAAAATGGTTAAATTTGATTTTGGATAAAAATGTGATGGTACAAGGAGTTTGGATTAACCCCAGAAATGAGTTTGGGATTTAACCCCAGATAGTGATGTCTGTTTATGCTGAAATAGAAATGAATTTGGGATTTAACCCCAAATAGTGCTTAAAGTGTCAGATTTGCAAAGATAGAATGTAGGACACACACACGGGAAGTCTTGTAACATTACCTTCATTAAATCCTGGGGTGACATTTGTTTAATGGATTGGATCGATATATTCAACCATTTAGTGGAGACTAGAGATGATCAATGAAGTTGATAATGAACCATTGATCATTCAATTTTCTTGCTTAGACCTCTAGATTGCATTTGGTAGCTCCAGTAAATCGGCATAAGGTTTTCTTTTTTTCGAGTTGTGAACAGGTAATAAATAAAGTTTCAAGTGTTGTATGAGGAAGGAACAGAGCACAGGTTGTGTTCAATGATACTCACATGTGCAAAATGCTAATCCTACTGTCTAAAGCTAATTGAGTTTTTAAGTGTAAAATCCTTAATTTCACTGCATTTGGATTGATCACAGTTTGTGACTTGTTAAACTTGATATCTCCTTGTACATTTTGGGAACTTGACAACATAAAGAAGTGCTCATATAAGCAAATTACACAATATCTACTAAAAAACTTAGAGACGGGACTTAGTTCATCAACAAACAGGTGCCTCACACTTAAATATTAAAGAACAAAGAGAGAAAAGCAAGCCAAACTCTTCAAAATTCGTTGGCACACATGCTTCATTAGCTTAATTGAATGTCTAATGCATACTTTGATACAACAATTCGAACAACAGCTCAGAAACAGTGCTGAAATTCCATTAGCACTAATCACACACTGCCGGAACAGAGATCCTAGCAAAGCTACACCAATTAAATGACAAAGACTAAAAACCATAAGGATGAGGAAGAAGATGGACTTTAGATTGCTGGTAGCCTTGTTATGTGAGGCCAAGTCTCCATCCAGGAAAACCCCTAAACTGGAAAAGCAAAAAAATTTAGCAGTAGCCTTGTTGTGATTGCCCGACGGCGCAAGAGCTTTTTAATTGAAATCTGGGTTTGAGTATGAGAAAACAACTTCAACATTTAAAGTTTTCAGACCATTTATTCTACCTATAAAAATCTAACAAAATTAAAAATCATACATGCAGAAAGCTAAATTGGGTTTAGGGCAGCTTTACCACAGCTTCCACCGCCACAACAAAAATAACCAACAACAACAACAGAAAGTGCAAGGGCAATGAAGGCCCTGACAACAAGAAGTTCAAGTACCGCGGCGTGCGTCAGCGGAGCTGGGGCAAATGGGTGGCTGAGATCCGTGAACTCCAGGGCCCAGCTCAACCTCCAGCCTTCTAATTCCTCGTCCCGAACTCCACGCAGGGCTCCTCCTCCACCTCTTCCTCCTCCATCTCTTTGAGTCTACCTGCAGAAAGCTACTTTTGTATGGGTTTGAGTCTGTGATAAATGGAGGGAATTGTTGTTATTTTTCAAAGAAAGAAGAGGGAATTGAGTCTGCAACTTCCCTTGAAGGTCGCAAGAAGCTTTTGATTTGAAACAAAGAAACGGAGACAAAGTTATGAGGAATCTTTTGGTTTTTGAGTTTGCAGCTTTTTCAAGTATTTTTTTAGTTAACAAATGATAACATCTAGCTGTCAACATTTAATAGGTTGGGAACACCACCTGGCTTTGTTGAGTTGGTGTTCCCGTCACTCCCAAAAATTTCTCCTTGTTTTGGGTCATGTACACTATAAAAATTTGGAGCAATTTTCGACATGATTGGAGCTCTGGGTTGCATCGGTGTAGTCGAACGTTAGGGTGTGGTCGGGACGGTGCTATGGGTATAGCCGGAATGACGTGATGGATGTAGCTAGAGGCCATTTTGGTTGGTTAGTTTGTCTATTTCTTAATTTCCAGGTTCTACAATTTGGTGCTTGAATTTCTTTTGAGCTGTTTAGTTTGCTAGATCTACCATAAATTGGTGCTCTTGAATTATGCGGTGATTAATTAGGAGTAGGGCATTGTGTTTCTTGCTCCAAAATTATATTGAGAGTTTGATCTCTCACATTATCTCTACTAAGCATTGATTTCATATATTCTATTAGTGAGACATGTATTTCCAACTCATCATTATCTCGCGATTTTATGGTTCAACGTATTGTTTTAGATAGTGTTGCAAGGACCAACTTTAAGCATATTTTTTATGAATATGTATTTTGTAATGCTCTTTTTTTCAATAACATTAGTATTGTATTTTTGTTTTAAATATATATTGTTAAAGGGAAGTTACAATAAGAAAAGTACAATAAATTCTCTTTTAGTTTCATAAAATCTTAGGTTAAAATTATAAAATCCAACAAAATGAAAAATGAAAGAGAATTTTGATAGTCCAAATCTTTTCGTCTCTATCTCTTGTCAAATCAAATGTGGTGAACTTGTTTTTCGTGTTTTTGGTCAGAGTTGGCAGACTTGATATTCCAAGCAGGAATGTTGAATAGAGAAAATTTTCAATGGGTCCGAAATATTGAGTGATAATCATATGTTATTATACAAGTGGATGAACACTTGAAAAATAAAAATTTCAAATGCTGACCACTCAACCTATCCCTCAAGCCACTGCCCTACATGTAATAATTGTTGAAAGAAAAATATTATTTACACACTCATTTTTATCTCGTACATTCTTGTTAATTTTTAATTATTAATCTTTTTCAATTATTCGACTCGACGGCTTAAAATTGAAAGTTGTGTGTGAAGTACAAATAGGTGTAGATGAAAAATACTACCCTTGTTTAAATTAATCCTCACCTAAACAAAACGAGAACTTAAATACGAAATAGCAACCACTCATATGTGACTTTGCCAAAGAGAATACAAACACTGAAAATACAAAAAAAAAAAAAAAATGTTTGTATGTATCTCCACATGCACCATGTACTTCTTGTTGTTCTTGTGTTTTGGTCTAATATCACATGCTCTTCTACCTAGTTTTGGATGAATTTCATACACATTCGAATAAGTAAAATAAATATATGGCTTATTACATTTTACATTTTAGATTTGAGGTGATTTTTAAAGTAGGTGATGATTAATTTTACACTCTGATGTTTTGAAATTGCATCAATTTGTACCTTTCTTTCTTTTAATGTCTAATCATTCGTTAAATTTAGGAGGTTTTGTCAATATGATGCATTGTTACTTAGATGTTGTCAATATATGGGTCTCACACTTACCATGTCATATAATTAAGAATCAAACAATCAACTACCCCAGAATAAATTGATAACAGTTTTAATATTTATGGTGCAAAATGATAAATTGAAACGTCATGACCTGTTTTGAAAATCACCCTAAAGTCAATGTGAAAGGGAGAAAGGGAGAGAGAATACGGGAGGGAAGGAGAGAGAGAGTTAGTGCGTTTTTTAATTTTGTAATCCACGTGGCTCAAACTTGACATCCACATTAGCAAAATGTGAGCACTATATTTGTCACATTGTCATTAACGGCTAAATTGATAAAAAAAAATAATGTATATATGATAGGACTAAAACATAAATCATGTCATACATTAATTTATATTTTAAAAAATATATAAGATTACAATTACACTCAAATTTGAAAACGAAAACAGTAATATAAAATAATGCTTGCATCACATTTGATGAGTAAAAAGAAATATATTAATAAGAAGATTCAAAGAAAGCAAGCAGAGAGAGAGGACCAGTAACTGAGCGGCAGGATTAGCCTGTCGATTTTGACCGGCAATTGGAAAATCAAGTGATCGAACCCAGTTTTGCTTCTGGACGATACAAGTCACTGACCAACCACATAATTAATTGTGTGCATCATAAGTCAACTGACATACTGTTGTGTGCTTCAGTGTTATACAACTTCCGACCAAAAAAATATTACAACATAAACTATGAGCAATTGGCAAAGTTATATATACGTCGTATTAGACTAATAAAAATTAAATAATTATTATAAAATGTGATTAAGTAAGAATTTCAAAATGATACCGTCTTGTAACCACATAAAGTTAAAAAATAAAAAATGTGACCGGAATATTGACATGCTTGACTTACTTCATTTAATTTTTATTAGTTTTATAGGGAACCCTAATTGCATGAAAAACCACTATAAAAGCAGCATGAAACATCTCACTTTGATACCATCAGTTTCCTCACCAAGTAGAGAGTAAAGTATTGCATAGCATCCCGGTACTAGCTAGTTTAATTAATGGGCTCGTTAACACTTCCAAAGCTTCCTACCATCGACTTCTCCGTCGATGTCTTGAAGCCTGGCTCAAGTTCTTGGCTGTCCACCTCCAAACAAGTCCGGTACGCACTCGAAGAGTACGGTGGTTTCGTGGCGCAGTACGATCAAATTTCTGCACAACTTCTGAACGATATCTTTGGCCATGCCAAAGATTTGTTTGAGGTTCCTTTGGAAAACAAAGTGAAGAACGTTAGTAACGAACCATATCGTGGGTATATTGGACCGAACCACCTCATGCCACTCTATGAAGGTATCGCCATTGATAATGTCACATCTCCAGAAGAAACTCAGAAGTTCAAAAATCTCATGTGGCCCGATGGAAAGAGCAATTTCTGGTAAGTATTTCTAGTTTTCTTTTCATAATTCTATTAGATTTAAATATTACTCTACAGCCAAATTGTCAACTTTCTAAACTATGATTGTGTCTAAGGGAAATGATCATCTTCGGATCTCTTCCTTCTAATCCACTAAATCAGAGAATCCGTGTTATTGAAAGTTGATCGAACGGATAAAGTTATTATAACTTTTAAAGTGATCTTCTGTTTGTAGCCGTTAAGTCAACTTTCAATGACACGAATTCCCTGATTTAGTGGATTAGGAGTAAGGGATATGGAGAGGATCCCTTTCCGTGACTAAGAATATGTTTATAGGACTGCTAGTTAAAACGTTTCTTTTTTCTTCTCAAAAAAAAAAAAAAAGGTTTAATTTTTTTTAGGCCAGAGCGCTTATGGCTGCATCTCGCAAAAAACTTAAAAATGATTCTAGCTTATAAAAGCGTTTAAAAGTGTGACCGGAATAAACCAAATGTTGAATTTCTTATATATATATATATATGTATTATACATACATATCATTTTTGTCTTGCTTTTCCGCAGTGAAACTACAGATTCATTTGCCCAATTACTATCAGAGTTGGAGCACAAAGTGGAACAAATGCTATTCGAAAGCTATGGAGCAGAAAAGCAGTACGAGTCTGTTGCTAGTGCCAACAGCCACCTTCTTAGATTCCTCAAGTATAATAAACCAGAGGAAGCTGATAGTACAACCTTGAGATTTGCGAGCCATACAGACAAGAACTTCACCACCATCGTCGTTCAGCATGACGTTGGTGGTTTGGAGGTTAAAACCAAGGATGGTGACTGGATTAGCGTTGAGTCGGTACCTTCACAGTTCGTGTTCTTGGCCGGTGATGGATTGCAGGTTTGTCTCATTCCCATATAGTTAAGTACCATCAACTACTTAGTTTTCAATTATCTTACACTAGTACTACTTAGCCGCTGTGGGTTTGCTGTCCCCAAGTTTGTGTCTCCTTCCGATGCAGCACCACCCCAAACGCCCCGCCGCCAGCTGGAACTCCCTCTTCCTTGCCGGCGAGTACTTTTATCAAGGTTCTAAAAAACACTAGGCACTAGTCGGACGGTAGGCAGGGGCCTAGGTGAATTTATGTAAATTTATTATATATCTTGTAAATAAGTATCTATTTACACTTAAAATAGAAAATCTATACTTCTATGGATGTTGAAAAAAAAAAAAAAAAAAAAAAGAGGAAATTTTAACGAAAAACTCTCGATACTGTTTACTTTAATGAAAAACTACATTTTTACACTAAAAAGTCAATCTTGGTACTATTCACTTTACCCTTTATTTTGTCCTTATCATTAAAATTCAAAGTTTTCAAACCATTTTCATTAGTTTTCCTTAAAAAAATGATAAAATCTAAAAATAGAAGTAGAAGAATACACAAAATACATCCATCCAACAAGTTCAATATTTAAAAAGCATTAAGCATATAATTATAATGAGGAGTATTCTTGGATAATAGACTAAATTCTTCTTGTTCATGATCTTTGCATTGGATTTGGCATAAACTAAATTATTTAACCTTGTTTTATCTAGTTTATTTCTTTTCTTTGTATGTATCCCCTCAAAATTGCTCCAATTCATTTCACAATTGGATAAATTTGTGGTCAATCCATCATTTGCAAATTAGGTACATCATTTTCATAAGTATACCACCATGAAACTAAAAAAAAAAAAAACACACAATTTAATATTAAAAAAAAAAAAAAAAAAAAAACCAAACCACCTAGGACTGCCTAGGTGCCGCCTAGCTCCTAGATCGATTTTTTGAAACAATTTGCACTAAATCGCGGGAGGCCTTCACTGTCTAGTGCCTAGGCGCTGCAATTTTTAGAACACTAGAAGTAATGATCTAATTGGTTATTTTGACTTGGTTCGATAAGGTATGGAGCAACGACAGAATAAAAGCTTGTCATCATCGAGTGAAGCATTGTGGAGACAAGACGAGGTACTCACTGGGGTTGTTTACTTTCAACAACGGAATAATACAAGTACCACAAGAACTGGTGGACGAGAGGCACCCACTGCTCTATAACCCACTTGACAGTCTTGAGTATATAAGGTTTCACAGTAGGGGTGAGGCCAGGAACTTAGTCTCTCCTGTCAATACCTTTTGCGGTGTTACAAATTCTGCAGCTTAATCTGCAGGACTGAGGAGGACTCAAACTTGATGCTGGATAAAAATATTATGGATAAAAATAGGGGTGTGATATCCACACACCCTATTTTACTTCTCACACACCCTACTAATTTTCGACCGTCGGATCGGATGAATTGAAGAAAATCAACGGATAGAAATTAACAAGGGGTGTGTGAGAAGTAATTTGGGGTGTGTGGATAGCACACCCCTAAAAATAATACTGCGGTGTTAATAAATAATAAATGTACCATCAGGAGGAATCTTTGTTGTTAATTACTTCATGTCCAGGTGCATTAGCATGTGCTTAAGTTGTGGGATTTCATAGCTGCTTCCTTCCAAACCCAGAACACTCCAACTATCTATGTGTAATAAAGCATTCGACTTTGGTTTTCTTCCATTCCAAGAATTATTGTATGGTTGCGCGTGGTTCCCTGTGACGAGAACACTTCACATGCCCATTTTACTTATCACATACACTCGAGAACACTTCACATGCCCATTTTACTTATCACATACACTCAAATTTTCAGCTGTCAGATTCAATGAATTGAAAAAGATCAATGACCAAAAAATTAACAAGGGGTTGTGAGAAGTAAAACTGGGTATGTGAATAACACTATCCCAAGCAAAAATACTTTATATATAAGAAATTAGATTTAGTTTGCAAGGACCCTTATTGAAACTGAATTCTTCGTGATTATATCTATAATATCCTTTTTTGAAGGGCAATGTCACTCGAAAGAAAGAACAAAATAATTCTATTAGAATTTGGTGTACAATGAAACGACCTGTAAAAGTATGGTTTCTGTTTGAATACATTTGTGTATGATGGGAAACGGAGGCCAAAGTGTTGATCCAACATGCAAAGAGGATATGGTGGAAGAGCTTGAAGAAATAATTGTACCCATGAGAGTTCTATTTTGCTTCAAGAAGGGATACGAGTTACAAACTTACAAGTGATCCACCATGAAACTCAAGATATGGATATAAATTAAGTGAAAATTATGATATGAAAAATCCACAACCGATCAATGTGAAATTAAATTTCAAGATTAACTGAACAAGCAAGTTTGGGTTGCAATAGTCGTTAGTCAAGAAAAAATTAAATTATAAAGTTGAATATTCCAATTTTACTTATGATTTTGATTTCATGATTGTAACATCTCGGCACTAAAGAAATTTGAGCTCTTTAAGTTGAAGAATTTATTTGCTGATCAAGCTACTTGTCTGCTTATGGTCAAATTCGATTCAAGGAGAACTCGAGGTCAAGTTCTTTACAAGTGAAGGGGGGGAGGAGTGGATTTGGTTCATTTCGGTTCGGTTTTTTTGTCACGCCTGAAAATAAAATGAAATTAGCTATTCGGTTTGATTTGTTTTTTTTTTTAATTTTAAATGATAAACCGAATTAATTCGGTTTGGTCCAGTTTGATTTTAATTTTTTTATTCATTCTTTATATTTTAATTTGCTTGCCTAAGGAAAAAAAAAACTGGAAATTGGATGAGGAAAACAACATCAAAGTCGAATCTTAGGGGGGGAATCGGAGGAAATGTTGGCTGCTATTTTGTCACAGCACCAAGCTAGCAACAAGAAGACTAAGCCCAAGTGAGTGTTACTGTAATGTAATGTTTCAAACGTGAGGATGTTTTGTGAAAATTCGATAAACTTCAAGGAATATTTATGTAATTAACCCGTTCAAAAAATAATTCCATTAGAATTTGGCGTACAATGAAGCGACTTGTAAAAATATGGTTTCCGTTTGAATACATTAGTATGATTAAGGATGGGAAATGGAGGCTAAAGTGATGATCCAATATGAAGAGGATATGGAGGAAGAGCTTGAAGAAAATAAGTAATTACACCCATGAGAATTCTATTTGAATTAACATGCAAAGTCGATTCAGTTAATTTCTGTTTGGTTTTGCCAAACCCGAAAATAACTGAAATTAGATATTCGGTTTTGATTTGGTTTTCTCAAATTTTAAACGATAAATCGAATTAATTCGGTTCAATTTATTTTAGTTCAATCTGGAGGAAATGTTGCATGCTCTTCGTCACTGCATCAAGCTAGCAACAAGACTAAGTGAGGGTTATTGTAATGTCTCAAATGTGAGAGTTCGATAAACTTCGAAGAATATTTATGTGAGACCCCATCCCAAATTATGTGTATTTTCATATTAACGGATTTATGAAATTACCATTTTGCCCCCTTATCCCCTCACCCTACCCGGGTCTCCCTTTTTTCCCTTTTGGGATTTTCCTTATCCCTTTTTATTATTTTTATAACACTCTATCCTCTTCTCCCTTCTCTCCCCCGAGTTCTCTCTCTCTTGCACCAATCCCCTCTCATTCTCCCCGATCTACACACACCCATACACCCAAATCGAGACAAACGACAACGACGACGGCATCACCACTCCCACCGTGTTGGGTCTCTCTCTTTCTCTTCTCTTCTGTGAAGCACAGAGAATCCAGGAAGCTTTTACAGTGAGTCTCATGGCTTTTGAGCCAAACTTCGGCTAGGTCCGGCCACCACACGGTGTGTTTTAGGTATGAATCTCTTCCTTGCATCCTAAACTTCAATTTGGTAGTTAGATCGCATCTTGTGGTTTAGTAGCGGAGTCGATTGGAGCTCGGTAAGCTTTGGTCTTCTCCCTTGTCAAAACCGGGTTAGACCCGACCCGAGATCCTAAGACCCGGATTGAAACCCAACCCAAACCCAAAGCCTTGGGCCGAGCTACCAGCCCCAAACCCTTTAACCTAAAACCCAGGGCCTTCAGCCCACTGAGCCCAACTCAAATCAAATCCCTTGTGTTGGGTTACAAGCCCAAAACCTTTAAGCCCAAACTTTAGGCCCAAACGTTGTTAATAAACGCACCCAAGCCCCAAACCCAATTGAAACCAAGCCCAACCCAGAAACCAGGCCGCTTGTGGGTGCCCCCTTGCGGCGGCGCGTGGGGGTACCCGAGGTCCCCCTTATGCTTTTCGACGTCCTAAATCCGTTTATGACGTCCGTTTTCCGAAATTCAATCATTATGGTAGAGTTTTATTAATTGGACCCTTTATGTGCTTAGGTGTGTTTATTAACATCGTTTCCATCCTTCCTATTTCGCACGGCTCATCAACAACAAAGTATCTATGAGTGGACCTCTTCCAAAATGCATAATTTTGCTATTAGAAATGCATACATGAAAAGCATGATTTAATAGTTACGTTTTATGAGTAAATTAGATTTTACTTTTTATGAGATATCATGCTTTACTGAGAATATTTTGGAATACCATGCTTTATTGATTTCATGTTCTTTGTAGTATATATGATGGATGACCATATACTATGAAGATGTATTGAGATATGATGTTTGAGCTATTGAGCTCCGTTGAGATATATGTACTTATGTTGGAAAGATTATATACAATGTTTTTGTGCTTATCTATTAGTTACTGTTCTGCCTACGGGTGTATGTTCTTCCAACATGCGTATGTTCTGCCTACGGGCGTATGTCCTGCCTTCAGGCAAGTATGATACCACTATTTATCACACTATATATGATATATGCTTTATGAAAGGTTTTATGGCATGCTAGGGTTTTCGGAAAACCTATCACATATTATGCTATTAGTTTTCATAAACTTTGGGGGTTAGTATGTTGTGGAATAACTATGTCTGTACTACTTATATATCAACTTAGTTCACTCATGTTTGTTTTGCGTCCCCTCAGGACATAGGAACGAGGCATACGATCAGAGCTACGAGGCATTCCCTTACCAGTGATATCGCATCATCCTCTCTGCTTTTGACATCACTTGTAATAACACTTTCTGTTACACCTTCCGCTTGTATTCTGAATTAGATATATGCTCTTAATATGTTATGCATTATCACTATCATTTTATTGACGGTTGAATATTATTATATTTTTTTGGGGAAGGTTTGTATATGAAAATGTCTTTGTGTAGTTAGCATGAAATTTATATGCATGTTTCACATATTCTCGGCATATGTATTCATTAAAAGGCTTACGTCACCCTCGGGTGTCGGTCAACATGTGGCCATCCCGCTGTCCCTCGGACATCGGGATGAAGGCTTGTCAATTTATGTAATAAACCTGTTAAAAAAATATTATGAAATATTTACGCACTCATTGCAAAGTTGCCTATGACAATGAAAAAGTCTTAAAATAAGTTAGAATCAACTAAATATAAAATGAGAAATTTTTTAAAGTGTTATATGAACTTATACAACTATTTCATTTTATCATATAAACTAAAAGGGAAAATTACATTTTACCCCATCAGGTTTGGGGTCGATTTCAATTCCTTACAATATCTTTAAAACATTTTAATTTTATACATTTAGTTATCATTTTATTTCAATTTCATACATCCATTAGAATATCTGTTAAGTAGACTGTTAAGTGATGACGTGGCTGCCCAATTTGTGTCACGTGGCAATTTTTTTTATGCATTTAAAATATCATAATATTTATCCTATTTATAACCAAAAAAAAAAAAAAACCAATCAAACCCATAAACCATTCCCCCCTGACCCACACTCTCTCCTCCACCCCACCCCATCCCACCCACCCCCACCCCCACCTCCCCCATCCCACCCCACCCCACCCCCCCCCACCTCCCCCATCCCACCTTCTCCCTCTCCTTCACTTTCTTATTCTTCAGAGAGGATGCCGGGTTTAGTCTCCATCCATTGTGCACCGTCTAGGCTCACCTCGCTTCGCCGTCCACCGCTCATCGCTCGAGCGACTTGGATGCCCAAACTGCATACTCCAACGCCTTGTTTGGACCCTCGTCAGAGGCGATTGTGTCCTAGGCCAGCTTAAGCAGAAACGGGTCGAGATCCGGGTTGTCTAAGGAGTCATCGACAAGAATAGAATATGGGGAAGCGGGTTGGGGATTTTTGGATCAGGCAGGCGAGGGTTTGGATCGGGACTGGGACTGGGACAGTGGTTTGTTGGTGTGGGGGAAAGGGGTTCTAGAAACCGGGGTGGGTTTGGGTTGCTGGGGCTGGGGATTTGGGACCACGATTCGGGGGGGGGGGGGAGGGGGATGGGGGGGGGGGTTGCGGGGGAGGTAGGGGTGAGGTGGGGGGTTTGGGTTGCAGGGAAGGGGAAGGGGTCGGGGTCGGGGAAGGATTTTTTTTTATTTTTTAAATAGGGTAAATTATTATAATATTTTAAATGCATAAAAAATTATTTTTTGCCACGTGGCACAAATGTGGCAACCATGTCAGCCCTTAACGAACCGATGGATGAAAAATATAATGGATGTATTATATTGAAATAAAATAGTATTTGAGATATGAAAGTGAAATTTTTTGAAGATGTTGTATGAGATTACAATAGACTTCAAACCTGAGGTGGTAAAATGTAATTTACCCAAACTAAAATTTTAAACGAAATGTCATATCAACTTTCCAAAATTAATAATTTGCCATTTTACTCTTAACTAAGTTATTTGTCTAAAATTAAGTCATGTTGTTCAAGATATTTTAAACTTTTGACCTTTTAATTTCATTTCATTGCTCGTCACGAGCATTGAATTAGAAAATCAATTCCGAGCTTGAAATTTACCATTGTTCTAGAGTTCATCAGTTGTAAGGATCTAAATCTATAGCACCCTATATAAGAACATATGTTATAGTTTACGAGAACTATATTGTTCAGCACGTCGTTGTCTTATGTTTAATGATGCCATGGTGCCCGGCATGTCATCAGTTATTAGTCACCAACACGAGTTCCCACTTTGACAATTTATTTCAATATATTCAAAAATGTCTATTCTGTTGTGACCTAAATCTAATCGAAGAAAATTTAACTAAAATGATAGAATTACAATTTTTTTTTATAATACCTCAAAGTATAGAATACTCTTGAGTTTTAACCGTTAAATATTAAAAAAATATATATAAATCTTAAAATCTAACGATTAAAAAATTTGGAGTACTCTACTCTGAGCATCATAATTTTTTTTGTCAAATTGGTTATTCATGTTTCTAACTAATTGGAACGATTTATATTTGTGTTAAGACTATAATGTTCAGCACAAACCTAACGTACAATGACAAGTTCGCGTCAAGTAATGTTCACCACAAACCTAACGTATAATGACCGAAATGTGCTGCAGATGAGGATTGTTTGGCAGATGAGGATTGTTTGACAAAAACGATAATCTTAGGCTTCTCACGGTAGGCCAAAAAAAGTAAGTACGATACTAATATATTGTCATTATAGGAATCACACTTTTACAGTACGATGAAACATTTGAGTGTGATATCAATATATTAAACTTATGAACATGATATCAATATATTGTCCTCACACTTGCATAAGAGTAGATAAATATCAAACTCAGGTTGTCTAATCCATATATTTAGTTTTCACACTCACTCAAACTATTGTAGAAAGCCTCATCACAATTTGCATACCACCTTTTTAACAAAGGTAAAACCTGCTTGTATTGGTGAGATCTATATCTATTAAAAAGGTGATACAAATGTGATAAGTGCAGTATTACTCAAATGAGTCACGTTTTCTTCCAACAAAACTATAATTTATACGAATGCAAGACTCCACAGCCGTGTACAAGTTATGTGTAGAAGTATGTTTTTAGCATATGTTTTTTATTCGAGCCTTCTGAGATTATCTATTTCTATTATACTCTTATGCGGAAATGAAAGCGAATTCCAACAAAGTACTAAATATCAACGTTGTAGGTGAAAACGAAAAAGTAAACAATCTCAAAATAAGAACATGAGATTTAACGTGGTTCGGTTAAAGCCTACGTTCATGGGCAAAGCACGACCATGAATTTCACTAAATAAACGGAAATTACAAAAAAGTGTTAAAACTCTCACAACCGAAATCCCACAATTACAACCATAAACAAAACAAGTAGAGAACCCAATAACAAACAAAAAAGATTCTTGCAAATTGTAATTGCCAAACGAATGAGCCATAAATTTGCCACACTCATGACCTTAAACGGTGACCTCCACCCAAAACTCAACGAGAGAAAACTCTCTAAACTAATGGTGAAGACACATAAAATAAACCAACTCTAAGCTCCTACTTAGAATGCATAGGACTTGGCTTACAGTGAGAATTCTAATTCTAATTGAAAATAAATTCAAATCCTAATCAAATAGGTGATTGACAAAATCTCTCCACCAAGCAAGGAATCCAACCTAAAAAGTCAAGTCCAAACCCAAATAGGACACCAAAAGGAAATAGGTAACATAAACCCAATTTTTGCATAATCCTAATTTTGAGCCGTAAATCACAAAAGTTTCCACACGAACTACACTCTTTTTTTCCTTTACTTATTGAACATTTTGATACATGAAGAATGCCGAGCATATGGGTTTCAGACTTTACAAATAAAAATGTGCTACTTTAACCAAGTTTAGTATAAAGGGGGGGTTGAGCTGATTTGCCTTTGCATTCACCGCAGTCACGGGGCCGTCTTGTTTCATCTTGATGAGACTGCTCTCAATGTTTCGCAACACTGGTTTATTGCTGCAACGCGTCGGATGAAATTGATGTTAGCACGAAACTTATAAGAAAATGGAGGGAGGGTAAGAGGGAGTGGGAGCTTACAGGCGTGCAAGCCCATTGAATGCTTGGGTGGCTTGTTGCAGTCGTGCAGAGAGCTGCAATACTTCAGCTGATAATGCCTCTGCTCTGCTCTGTTCTTTCGCGAGTTGATCCTACAAACAAAAACACAAAGGAAATTAAAAAAACGATGCCAATTAATGAAAGCTAAATAATCCCCGTCCTGAATCTTTAACAAAACAAAGCACCATGGAAAGTTTCAAACAACTAATGTTTTTTCATACCAAAGAACGAAACAATGAAATAAATGTTTTTTCCTGCTAACAGACTAACCAGTGTCATTAACCTTGATGGAGAGAACTTCAGTTGTATATGCAGCTGAACCAAGGTCATTAGCCCTGCCATCATGGGATTCTGACAATCCCTTGGCCTGGTCTGTTCTCAACTTATCCAAAGTTCCACGGAGCTCTTCGTTATGCTTAAGACAGTCTTTCACCTGCAAATTCACATGCAAAAAAATTAGACGTTTTACGAAGAGAAAAAAGCATAGTAAAGCGTACTCTCCATGTCCTGTTGGCAATTGTTTCAGTCTATCTAAGAGAATAAAAGAAAGACATTATTACAAATATGAATACTGGATAAGTGTACGGATAGCCAACATTCTGTTAATCTTCATCAACTAAGCCATTGACAACTACCTGATTCTCCCAGTGCGCTGATATGCTCACTGTTTGCGACAAGAATTTGAGATATTAGAATTTTCCTCGAAAAGCCTCTCTATCTCTGAAGATTGGGAATCAATCTGCCAACATGTACAAAAAGTGAGTTTGCTGTCAAAAGAGAAAACTACCACCAAAACAAAGTTTCCAATTGGAGTTATCAAAGAGAAGGTGTTGCAAGGATAACCTCTATCAAAAGTTTTTGTCTACTGCTATCCAATTTCTAAATGCATTAACCCGTAAATAAATTTATGAAGGAACAACAAGAAACAAAGGAGGTAGAACTAATGAGCCGCACTCATACTATGTAATAGTACAGTGCCTCCTGGGAGGAACTCATTACGTTCCTGCCTCCTTGTTTTCCTCCCTATTTTCTTTGGCATATACATTATAATCATGCACCCGACAACGATAAAATTTCTTAAACAAGGTCATCAAGAAATTAACTTGCGAGAGAAAATTCCTTGCCAGCCACTTTCTCCGAGACTTCTGCAGTGCACGAACCAGGGGTAACAACATGGGATCAACATTCATAAGATCTAACTGTTTTGTAAAATGCATATACAACAACAACAACAACAAAGCCTTTTCCCACTAAGTGGGGTCGGCTATATGAATCCTAGAACGCCATTGCGCTCGGTTTTGTGTCATGTCCTCCGTTAGATCCAAGTACTCTAAGTCTTTTCTTAGAGTCTCTTCCAAAGTTTTCCTAGGTCTTCCTCTACCCCTTCGGCCCTGAACCTCTGTCCCGTAGTCACATCTTCGAACCGGAGCGTCAGTCGGCCTTCTTTGCACATGTCCAAATCACCGGAGCCGATTTTCTCTCATCTTTCCTACAATTTCGGCTACTCCTACTTTACCTCGGATATCCTCATTCCCAATCTTATCCTTTCTCGTGTGCCCACACATCCCACGAAGCATCCTCATCTCCGCTACACCCATTTTGTGTACGTGTTGATGCTTCACCACCCAACATTCTGTGCCATACAACATCGCTGGCCTTATTGCCGTCCTATAAAATTTTCCCTTGAGCTTCAGTGGCCTACGACGGTCACACAACACGCCGGATGCACTCTTTCCATCCAGCTCGTATTCTATGGTTGAGATCTCCATCTAATTCTCCGTTCTCTTGCAAGATAGATCCTAGGTAGCGAAAACGGTCGCTTTTTGTGATCTTCGCTAGATTGCTCCGATCATTAGTGTGGATAAGTATATATAAATGGATAGAGATAGGAAAGCAAACACAAGATGTACGTGGTTCACCCAGATTGGCTACGTCCACGGAATAGAAGAGTTCTCATTAATTGTGAAGGGTTTTACACAAGTACATAGGTTCAAGCTCTCCTTTAGTGAGTATAAGTGAATGATTTAGTACAAATGACATTAGGAAATATGGGAGAATGATCTCGTAATCACGAAACTTCTAAGTATCGGAGTGTGGTGTCGTCTTGACTTGCCTTATCCGTCTCATAGGTAGATGTGGCATCTTCTCTGGAAGTACTCTTCCTCCATCCAGGGGTGGTATCTTTAACTGGTGGAGATGCACAAGGTAATGTATCAATTTCACTTGAAGCTTACTTGTAGTTTCAGGCTTGGTCAAGCGCGATACAAACCATGTAGTAGGAGTCCCCCAAGTCGCCGAGCTAGGGGGTCTGCTGAAAGAGGTGACAGACAAGGTAAGCAATCAGAGCTCCGACTGATTGTTCACCTTCTCCCCATCTTGCAGCAGCATGAAGGATAAAGAGAAGAAAAATGAGAAGAGAGATGATATGAGATACTTTTGCTTTTGAAGAAGTAACTTTCCACAGGCTTATTCTTGAACTGAGCTGGAGGGGTTTTCTGGTTTCCTCCAGAGTATAAGGCCGACTGAAGAATTTGAGGGTCAAAACAAGTCCATCAAATCTAGAGTACGTTCCACCCTGCTGATATGGGATACTTTTGCTTTTGACAGAGTAATGGATGTATCGGCACGTGTGCTGTTACGCTTGTTGTCTCCACATGCTTCCTTGTATCCTTCGCATTTGCCCTATCTGTTCTCTCAAGCAGATGCGGAATCTTCCCTGGAAACATAAAGATGTTGAAGATGAGTACTCGAGAGCAATGCCAGGTAAGTAATCAGGTAAGGGGTTCCAGGCAGTCAGTTCCTGGCTGGAAGCTTGATTCCAAGTGCTGACTGATTGCTCTCTTTCTCCTTGTCTTGCAGGTAAAAAACAAGGCCAAAAGAAAAGACAGGGAAAAAGCATGATATGGGATACTCTTGCTTTTAACCCTGATGATATGAGATATTCTTGCTCTAGTATAGCTTGTTTGCAGAGGTATTATCGGGGGGAAAGAAAGCTGAATATTTCGAAAGGCTTCGTTGGGAGTGCCCTCTCAGATATGATGAAGGGTTGAGCATTTTTGCAGGTCCGTTGGGGATGGAGGTCGACATATATAGGAGTCTCCCTAACAACAAGTAGTAATGCTATTCCTTTACCCTGCTTGGTCATAGCACGGTAGTGGGAGCTGCCAGTTTCACATGTTTTAACTCTGTCAGATCACTTTGAAAAAGTGGTCTGTGGTATCTGGCTCTCGAGATTCGGAGAACGATGCCTCTTCGATTTTTGAGAAAGCAATCATGCTGGGGGTTTGACTCTCGAGATTCGGAGAGCAGTGTCTCTTCGATTTTTGAGGAAGTAATCATGTTGGGAGTCTGGCTCTCGAGATTCGGAGGGCGGTGCCTCTTCGATTTTGGAGCAAGCAATCTTGTTGGGAGTGTTGTCTCGAATGTGAGTAAAGGTTGGGCATGTTTGCTAGTCTACCTTGCCACGAAGCACAAAGGTTGACACACAGGGACTTTCCAATTATCCAGCAATGGTACTGTTCCTTTACCCTCTCTTCGATTTTGAGAAAGTAGTCATGTTGGGAGTCTGGCTCTCGAGATTCGGAGGACGGTGCCTCTTCGATTTTGGAGCAAGCAATCTTGTTGGGAGTGTTTTCTCGAATGTGAGTAAAGGTTGGGCATGTTTGCTAGTCTACCTTGCCACGAAGCACAGAGGTTGACACACAGGGACTTTTCAATTATCCAGCAGTGGTACTGTTCCTTTACCCTTGTGGGTAATAATATGGTAGCTAGACCTTCAAAATTTATGTGTCTAAACTTTGTTAGTGCTGTTTCTTTGCTATTCTTTTACCTTTCTTGGTCAGAGCAATGTAGTGGGAGCTGCAAGCTTCACGTGCTCAACTTTGGCAGAGAACTTTGGCAAAGTTATCTGTGGTACCCATGAGCTATTGTTGCGTGTGGGAAGTGGGTGATTGAACAGTAAGATTCATGTGCTTTCTACTTCACCAGAAGTCTTCGACAGAATGCCCATAATTTCTGCAAAGCTGAGTGTGCGTGTGACAGGTGCTGACAAGGCTAGAAAAGTAGGTGCCTCTTCGATTTCTGAGATCGGCCCTCGTGGTCTCTGAGCAGCCCAGCTTTTGAGAAAGCGAGCGCCTCTTCGATTGATTCGGAGAACGATGCCTCATCGATTTTTGAGAAAGTAATCATGCTGGGGGTCTGGCTCTCGAGATTCGAGAAGCAGTGTCTCTTCGATTTTTGAGAAAGTAATCATGTTGGGAGTCTGGCTCTCGAGATTCGGAGGGCGGTGCCTCTTCGATTTTGGAGCAAGCAATCTTGTTGGGAGTGTTAAAATTGTTATTCTTTTACCCTTCTTGGTCAGAGCGATGTAGTGGGAGCTGCAAGCTTCACGTGCTCAACTTTGGCAGAGAACTTTGGCAAAGTTATCTGTGGTACCCATGAGCTATTGTTGCGTGTGGGAAGTGGGTGATTGAACAGTAAGATTCATGTGTTTTCTACTTCCCCAGAAGTCTTTGACAGAATGCCTATAATTTCCGCAAAGCTGAGTGTGCGTGTGACAGGTGCTGACAAGGCTGAAAAAGTAGGTGCCTCTTCGATTTCTGAGATCGGCCCTCGTGGTCTCTGGGTAGCCCAGCTTTTGAGAAAGCGAGCGCCTCTTCGATTTCTGAGATCGGCCTTCGTGGTCTTTGAGTAGCCCAACTTTTGAGAAAGCAAACGCCTCTTCGATTTCTGAGATCAACCCTCGTGATCTCTAAGCAGCCCAGCTTTTGAGAAAGCAAACGCCTCTTCGATTTCTGAGCAGGCGCCTCTTCGATTTCTGAAGCTCCGTCGAGTGCAGATTTTTATAGGGGCTGGCATTAAGTTCCAAAGCACACTTGAATCTCCACCAGTAGAAGCTTCATTCTTGCACTTCTAAGATCTTGATTTGTCCGACCTCTTCTCTCTTCAACACCTTTGAAAATGTCTGGCCCCTCCGACCGTCGTTTTGACTTGAACCTTGTTGAAGAGGCAGCCCCGCCTTCTCCAGACAACATATGGCGCCCATCCTTCGTCTCCCCTACTGGTCCTCTTACCGTTGGGGATTCCGTGATGAAGAATGATATGACCGCTGCGGTGGTGGCCAGGAACCTTCTCACTCCCAAAGATAACAGACTACTTTCCAAACGGTCTGATGAGTTAGCTGTTAAGGATTCGCTGGCTCTCAGTGTTCAGTGTGTAGGTTCTGTGTCTAATATGGCCCAACGCCTATTTGCTCGAACCCGCCAAGTTGAATCATTGGCGGCTGAAGTGATGAGTCTCAAACAGGAGATTAGGGGGCTCAAGCATGAGAATAAACAGTTGCACCGACTCGCACATGACTATGCTACAAAACATGAAGAGGAAGCTTGACCAGATGAAGGAAACTGATGGTCAGGTTTTACTTGATCATCAGAGATTTGTGGGTTTGTTCCAAAGGCATTTATTGCCTTCGTCTTCTGGGGCTGTACCGCGTAATGAAGCTCCAAATGATCAACCTCTGATGCCTCCTCCTTCTAGGGTTCTGTCCAGTACTGAGGCTCCAAATGATCCCCCTCCGGTGCCTACTCTTTCTGGGGCTCTACCGACTGCTGAGACTTCTCCTAAGCAACCTTTGTGAAGGCTCCCTCTTTGTGTGTTTATTTTGACTCATGTATATGTACATATTTGTAGCTTATCGGGGATATCAATAAATAAGCTTTCCTTCATTTCAACGTATTGTGTTAAATACACCAAAGCCTTCTTCGCTAAGTTCTTTGAATTTTCTTTTGTTGAAGCTTGTAAGTTGAAGCTTTCTGAGTGGAGCATGTAGGTTGGGGTAGTGTTCCCTTAATTTCCCGAGTGAGGAAAACTTCTCGGTTGGAGACTTGGAAAATCCAAGTCACTGAGTGGGATCGGCTATATGAATCTTAGAACGCCATTGTGCTCGATCCTGTGTCATGTCCTTCGTTAGATCCAAGTACTCTAAGTCTTTTCTTAGAGTCTCTTCCAAAGTTTTACTAGGTCTTCCTCTACCCCTTCGGCCCTGAACCTCTGTCCCATAGTCGCATCTTCTAATCGGAGCGTCAGTAGGCCTTCTTTGCACATGTCCAAACCACCGTAACCGATTTTCTCTCATCTTTCCTTCAATTTCGGCTACTCCTACTTTACCCCGGATATCCTCATTCCTAATCTTATCCTTTCTCGTGTGCCCACACATCCAACGAAGCATCCTCATCTCCGCTACACCCATTTTGTGTACGTGTTGATGTTTCACCGCCCAACATTCTGTACCATACAGCATCGCCGGCCTTATTGCCGTCCTATAAAATTTTCCCTTGAGCTTCAGTGGTATACGGTGGTCACACAACACGCCGGATGCACTCTTCCACTTCATCCATCCAGCTTGTATTCTATGGTTGAGATCTCCATCTAATTCTCCGTTCTTTTGCAAGATAGATCCTAGGTAACGAAAACGGTCGCTCTTTGGTATTTCTTGATCTCCGATCCTCACCCCTAACTCGTTTTGGCCTCCATTTGCACTGAACTTGCACTCCATATATTCTGTCTTTGATCAGCTTAGGCGAAGACCTTTAGATTCCAACACTTCTCTCCAAAGGTTAAGCTTTGCATTTACCCCTTCCTGAGTTTCATCTATCAACACTATATCGTCTGCGAAAAGCATACACCAAGGAATATCATCTTGAATATGTCCTGTTAACTCATCCATTACCAACGCAAAAAGGTAAGGACTTAAGGATGAGCCTTGATGTAATCCTACAGTTATGGGAAAGCTTTCGGTTTGTCCTTCATGAGTTCTTACGGCAGTCTTTGCTCCTTCATACATATCCTTTATAGCTTGGATATATGCTACTCGTACTCCTTTCTTCTCTAAAATCCTCCAAAGAATGTCTCTTGGGACCCTATCATACGCTTTTTCCAAATCTATAAAGACCATGTGTAAATCCTTTTTCCCATCTCTATATCTTTCCATCAATCTTCGTAAGAGATAGATTGCCTCCATGGTTGAGCGCCCTGGCATGAACCCGAATTGGTTGTCCGAAACCCGTGTCTCTTGCCTCAATCTATGCTCAATGACTCTCTCCCAGAGCTTCATTGTATGACTCATTAGCTTAATACCCCTATAGTTCATGCAATTTTGTACGTCGCCCTTATTCTTGTAGATAGGCACCAAAGTGCTCGTTCGCCACTCATTTGGCATCTTCTTCGTTTTCAAAATCCTATTGAAAAGGTCAGTGAGCCATGTTATACCTGTCTCTCCCAAAAGTTTCCACACTTCGATTGGTATATCGTCTGGGCCTATTGCTTTTTTATGCTTCATCTTCTTCAAAGCTACAACCACTTCTTCCTTCCGGATTCGACGATAAAAAGAGTAGCTTCTACACTCTTCTGAGTTACTCAACTCCCCTAAAGAAGCACTCATTTCATGTCCTTCATTGAAAAAGATTATGAAAATAACCTCTCCATCTGTCTTTAACCGCGTTCTCTGTAGCAAGAACCTTTCCATCCTCATCCTTGATGCACCTCACTTGGTTTAGGTCCCTTGTCTTCTTTTCCCTTGCTCTAGATAGTTTATAGATATATCCAACTCTCCTTCTTTGGTATCTAGTCGTTTATACATATCGTCGTAAGCCGCTAACTTAGCTTCTCTGACAGCTTTCTTCGCCTCTTGCTTCGCTTTTCTATACCTTTCACCATTTTCATCGGTCCTCTCCTTGTATAAGGCTTTACAACATTCCTTCTTAGCCTTCACCTTTGTTTGTACCTCCTCATTCCACCACCAAGATTCCTTTTGGTGTGGGGCAAAGCCCTTGGACTCTCCTAATACCTCTTTTGCTACTTTTCGGATACAACTAGCCATGGAATCCCACATTTGGCTAGCTTCCCCCTCTCTATCCCACACACATTGGGTGATTACCTTCTCTTTGAAAATGGCTTGTTTTTCTTCTTTTAGATTCCACCATCTAGTCCTTGGGCACTTCCAAGTCTTGTTCTTTTGTCTTACTCTTTTGATATGTACATCCATCACCAACAAGCGATGTTGATTAGCCACGCTCTCTCCTGGTATAACTTTGCAATCCTTACAAGTTATACGATCCCCTTTCCTCATTAGAAGAAAATCTATTTGTGTTTTTGACGACCCACTCTTGTAGGTGATCACATGTTCTTCTCTCTTCTTAAAGAAGGTGTTGGCTAAGAAGAGATCATATGCCATTGCAAAATCCAAGATAGCTTCCCCATCCTCGTTTCTCTCCCCAAAACCATGACCACCATGAAAACCTCCATAGTTGCCTGTCTCCCTGCCCACGTGTCCATTTAAATCTCCTCCTATAAATAACTTCTCCGTCTGAGCAATTCCTTGCACCAAGTCTCCAAGATCTTCCCAAAATTTCTCCTTCGAACTCGTATCCAACCCTACTTGAGGTGCGTACGCACTAATCACATTGATAAGTTCTTGTCCTATTACAATCTATATACAATCTTGATTGCCATGATTCTATCTCCTACCCTCTTGACATCTACAACATCTTGTACCAAGGTCTTGTCCACGATGATGCCAACACCGTTTCTCGTTCTATTTGTGCCCGAATACCAAAGTTTAAACCCTGAGTTTTCTAGATCCTTTGCCTTACTACTACCAACCCACTTAGTTTCTTGTAGGCACATAATATTTATCCGTCTCCTCACCATAACTTCCACTACTTCCATAGATTTTCCCGTTAAGGTTCCTATATTCCACGTTCCTAAACGCATTTTGCTCTCTTGAACTCTACCCTTTTGTCCTAGCTTCTTCACCCTCCCCCGTCTAATAAGATCAAAGTACTTCTTTTGTGTGTCCCGGGTAAAGTTGATAGGAGCATATGCTCCCAAACAACTTTGAGTGGAGTCGTTCGAAAAGAAGTTTCTATGGCCCCCTTGCTCATTTAACACTGCATCCGGGTGCCGATGGAGATACAGCGACCCTTGCTCACTTATCACTGTGCTCGGGCCACACAGCGCGCCACTTACGGGTGACGCCCTAGCTTTAGCGCGATTTTGTTCTGGATTCATTTTCATAAGGATTCGACGTGATCATGGAGTGCCGGCTGTCGACTACTTGACGCCCTCCCCCTCCTCCTTTATCCGGGCTTGGGACCGGCCATGTAAGACATAGGCGGAGTTTTGTAAAATGCATATGCAGGAATAAAAACATGAAAGGCCAATACAACAAAAGTATGAACAGAAGCATAGAAGGGAACTGGGGAATAGTAACACGGTTGAAGGCATCAGAATAAACATATCTACTTGAAACTGAAATTGCAAAAGGGGTTCCAATTGCAACTCCAAGTACCCTGAGCCCGTGAACCACCAAGGGATACAGTTTATAGATCTAAACATGGTTATAGAGGAAGTATGCATATTGCGATGAATATGAAAATGAGAAGAAAATCTATGATGGAAGCTGTTTTGGAATCCCTGTCCCGTGAGAGGAAAAAGTCAAGCCAACAACTGCCAATTCGTTTACTTTTCTTGACCAGCAATGTTTTAGGTACGATTATTCCTTTTGTACCTACGTGCACCCCAAGATTTATAAAAGGCTTCCTAAAGTCCTCACCCTTTTGTAACTTGAATTCTGAAAAGAGTTTCTCTGAAATTCCTTATGTTGTTGAAATGTATATTTGGTAGATTTGGTACCTGAAGCCTTTCTAGACATAGCTGCAAGTTTTTCTTCCAGTTCTTGCTTTTCAGATGTAAGCATGGATGCCCCGGCTTGCTCCTCTGCTAGTTGTTGTGGCTCTTGTTGCCTCAAGTGTGACTCTTGCTACAATAAATTTACCACAGTTAGACACCTATAAACAAGCACCAGATGTGAAACTACAAAAATTCCAATAAACAAATCATCACCTGTAACGCAGATTTTAAGCTAGCTAACTCCTTTTCTAGCATTTGTATCTGATCTGGTGAATTAGAAATTGAGTTCATTGCACCAAGTGAACCACTCATTGCTTGTTGCTGTAACATATTCAGTTCTGCTCTCAAAGCGACTGCGTCTTCCTCAGCCTGTTGCAAGACAATGAGTGAGAAAACCATACAAATCTGTCGTTCCAGAGAGATCCAATAGAGAAACTAACTACGTACTTGATACTGTTCTTCCTCTGCATCCTTTAACCGTTTCTTGAGCATACGAAGCTGAGCTGAAAGATCCTCCTACACTAAGAAATCAAATTTTGAGAGTGAAACAAAATAGAAAGAACCAAGTGAGATGAAACACCAACTAGCAGATAGATGGTCAGTACCCGTGCAACAACTGCGGCATCTTTCTCCATTGCATTTCTCCTGCAATTTACAGCAAAGCGTAGATGAGACCAGGCTGAAAAAGTTAACAAGTAAGGCTCTTTTCTTTCCAATAGTTGTACATTCATTGTGAATCAATATCTCTAACAAATAACAGAATTACTGGCAGCGAAAAATTTGTACGGACTCTGAAATGAAAACAAGACATAAAATATGGAAGATAGAGCGACAATACATTCGACATAAAAAGACATAATCTTTACTGAAAAAAAATGTAAAAATATTTAAAAGGTGCTACATCTACCAGATCATTCAGGCGTTTCTGCAGCACATCGCCCCCCGCTTACTTTGTTTCAAGCTGAAACATCAAGTGGGAAAAATAACCATCCACCATAAAATTGATCATCACCGAAAGCTAACAGCTTCGTAAAATGCGAACTAAGAATCAAACAAACAAACCACAGAATCAAAAGTCCTACCATGGAAGCCAAGTTTTTGTTTTGCTCCTTCAATTCCGCATTCTTCTTCTCCAAGTCCTTTATCTGAGCAACCAAAACACTGACGTCGCTCTGCACCAGCAATGACATTTACATGAGAATTTAAACTGAAATTTTCTCAGCAACCAAACATAAAACTCAAAAAAACAAATTTCAGACAAAAATTATTTTGTCAACAGATAAGCAGAAATCAGCTCCTACCTCAGAGAGCCAATTCGCGCTCTCCGATTTTCGCATTCCTACATCATCTGCGCAAACAAACAATTCAGCAAAAGCACAAAAATATCAAATTTAACCGAAAAATAGATGACGAACCGATAGGGATGGAGGCTTTGCTGAGATCGGGTCCGGACGAAGTTTTGCTCAACTTTTCTACAGCTCGCTTTTACCGAATTTCTTCCAACTGATAAAAAATTTAAATGAAATGAACAAAATTGAAGGAGAATATGTATTTTCGGATTCAAATATTCAATGAGAAATGGAAGGTAGACAGTGGCGATGAGACCTGTACCGTTCGTCGGCCGAGAGTTGCGTGGCGGGAGTCCATGGCGGCGCGAAGGCGAGGTAAGGACGGTGATTTCCGTCTCGGTCGCACTCGCTGCAGCCTCTGCACGGCGGTTTCTCTCTGTGATGGTTTGGATACGGCACAGAGAGAGAAAGCGGTGGCCGTGAAGATCGTTTCTAACGGTCAGTAGGCCCAAATGAAATCATTTTAATTAGTTTTCTTAATAATTAATTGATAGCTAAAAATTGATACTACTTTTTTAACGATAACACCTAATTCTTCAAGAACAGTGTATTTATATTAGGAATATTTTATTTGAACCCACACAATCTCTTTATATATCTAATTTAAATTTTAAATGTGAATTGTCTTTCTTACATAATTACCGTCAAGTACATGATAAGATTAATAATTAAATTAAAATTTATTAATAAATCCACACCTAATAATTAAACCCTAGTTTCACACACAATGTTTATCGTACGTTCATTCCAGCTAAAACCCTAAGAGCTCTTTTACAGAAACAAGCTCTCTTTTTTTATCAATGGATGGTGATTTTGAAGTTTTAAATCCGCCAACTAAAGTATGAATTGATTTATGCAATTTTTTTTTTTGATTTCAATTTATTTTAGAGTTGAGAATATGAGTTTTTAAGTTTCAATCACAACCATCAACGTTGAAAGTTGAAAAGATGAGTTATTGCATTTTGTTGTGTAAATGGTGACGAAGTCTCCCCTACCAATTTGGTTTCCTCGAATCCACTCCATCACCATGGTTGAAAATCTAGAGCTAACCTAAAGAAACAAGGGTTTGCTACCACTTACCATAGATCATGGAATAACTGAAAAATTGGTTCATTAGGAGGCAGCAGGTACCACAACAAAGAGACCAAAATACAAACAAATTAGCTAGCAATAATAGCGATGGGAGCCATAGAGCAGTGGGGCACATCATCTTAAGAAATTCTATTATTCTCTACACAGAATAATGATGTACCATCAATTACGACGTATACTGTATTACATTAACGAAAGCACGCCAAACGACTTTATGATTATGCAGTTTGGGATTAAAGAGATATTAATTCTTTAATAAAAATTATTCGATTGAAATTTTATTTTTTAAATAGATGTAAGGATAAATTTACATGTTGAATTGAGTTTGTGAGGGTAGATTAAGTAATAAACTTGGATTTAAAGAGATATTAGTATTTTACTTAAAAATAATATGGATGTAGAGAGTAAATTAAATGTAAAAAGATGTTATAAGGGTTCAAATAAAATTTCCCTTTATATTATTCATTTTTCCTTATGCACTTTTATTAATTTTTAATTATTTAATTATTTAATTCATAAAATACTAGGGTGGAAATTTGATAGAAAATTTGAGGAATAATCAATCAAAATCAGACTTCAACTTCAGTGTTTCCGTCACACGAAGTGGTACACCATGTGTCCTTATAAATGATGGGTTATTTGTGTTAAAAGGTTAATAACTTAAAAATTAAATTTTTTTCACTACTTGCATAAAAACACGTGATAAATCATTCGTGTTTTTGTTACAGCTCAAAATTTTCCCTTGTTTTGAAGTTGTCTTCAACGGGAGCTAAATGCCGTTGCCCCCAATGATACGTGTGTGACTTGGACCGCAAATGACGACTGAGTTTTCATGTAGGTAAAAACCCTAATTATTTAATTTCTCAAATCTCTCCCTATTAATTTCAATGACCATTTCTAAAGCTTGAGATCCCTAGAGAGAGGGAGCCCCGTCATCAAAAGCTCTACTTTTCTCTCGGATTCTCAGGTAGTCCTCCGTCGTTCCCAATTGATCTCTCTTCCTTCTTTTTGTTTTTCGATATTTTTATTGGGTTTTTTGGATTCTTTGATTTGCTTTTTCAAGTGGGTATTATGATCTTTGTGTTCATTTTTGTTATATGATTGTATCGGGTAGTGGTAGTATATGGAATTTGAAATTTTGGGTCTGTTAGTTTAATTGGGTGTGTTGCAAAGTTGGATGCTTGGTGTTCAACTGGGGTTGAGATGATTGATTCTTCTCGAATCAGAAACCGGCCCGAATTTCGGGTTTTTGGGTTCTTGGTGCAGCACATAGAGGCATTAGATTGTAGAAAAAAAAATAGGTATTACCATTTTTCGGGGTCCAACACGATGGAAGGGTTAGGGAAGTTTTAAGGTGGCTCTTGATGAAATTCCAAGATATCTAAATTTTCTACATAGAATGGAAGGATTAGACTGTTCTTCCTTCATCCAATAACTAAATGCGTAACTCTCATACACATGGTCGCACACACAGTGAAACCAAGCTAACTGAACCCGAGAAATTTCCATCTAAGCTAAACAATTCTGTTCTAGTAACTAAACTCAGAGAATTTAACTAAAGCTTTAATTAAAGTTGTTGCATCAGTTATACCGGTCGACCAATGCCAATCAGCTTCTGCTGTTGTGGTCTTTGAGCTGGAATATGACTTGGCTCTGAGCAGCTTTGGGCCAGCTCAATTTTCTGGGTGCTCGCTTGCGCAGCTGCTTTGTTTTGGTGTAAGTTGACGTAGCACTCTATTATCCTGAGCTGGCTTAAGATATGTAAGTAGGCCTCGATTTAGCTATAAAACTGAAATGCGTCCTTTGCTTTTAAAATCAATGACTGCATATTAAACAGAGGAAAAGACGCTATCTAATACAATCTTATAATGTGCAATGAAAACCATTTGGGAGTGGTGCAATGTTATTGAGTGAACTACATGGACAAGGGGAATGTAAAACAGATACGGCGGTGAGTTGATGCACAGTTGTAGCCTGAGATGGATTTGGATAGTCAAGTAATCCTTGGAGCTGATGCTAATAATTTAGTATTTGAAACTAACTACTAATAGTTTCGTATTTGAAACCAAATATTTTTCTGAATCTCAAGTTCCCAATGTCCAAAAGATCAATTTTTTTTTTTTTACTTTATGTAAACTTCATACCATAACATATGACTTATCATCTCTGAATGAACGCGATTAATCAATCATATTACTGAATCTCTTCATCAGATTTTCTTTTCATTTTAAAGAAATTAAGACCATCACTTTTCTGAAGCAGATGGAACATGAGAAGGTACCCTTTACGAGAATAGAGTCTCAGGAAATTGAGATCCCAATAGTCTCTGAAGGTATTGATGATCTTCCTGTGCCACCACAGGTGCCTCGCTCCTTGTGTGTCTGTGTTTTCTCCAAAAACGAGCACTGTAGTTTGGATTCAAAACAGCGGTCAAAGTCAGCTACAAAACTTTCTGTACTCGTTGTCGCATCTCTCATGTTTATGGTTGTTGAAATGATTGGTGGTGTCAAAGCCAACAGCCTTGCAGTACTCACAGATGCAGCCCACTTGCTCACTGATGTTGTTGGATTCTCCATTGCTCTTTTCACAGTATTGGCTTCAGGTTGGGAGGCAACATCGTACCAGTCTTTCGGATATCACCGTCTTGAGGTTTTGAGTGCCCTTTTCTCTGTGCAGCTCATATGGCTGGTCTCTGGGATCTTGATCTATGAGGCAGTTGACAGGATCGTTCACACTAAGGAAAAGGTGAACGGGTTACTCATGTTTTCAGTTGCAGCACTTGGATTTCTTGTCAACTTAATCATGGTCTTGTGGCTTGGTCACGACCACACCCATCATGCATGTGGAGGCTTAGGTCACGATCATCATCATGTTCATACTCACGATCATCATCATGGTCATAATCACAATCATCATCATGGTCATGATTATCAGGAGGAAGAAAGTGCAATAATGGAGGACGATAAAACGAGTCTGGTGTCATCAACATCTCCAGAAAAGACTAAAATATTAAACATAAATATCCAAGGAGCTTACTTGCATGTCATCGCCGATATGATTCAGTCCGTTGGGGTGATGGTCGCTGGAGGCATCATATGGGCAAGGCCAGATTGGTTAGTAGTTGATCTCATCTGCACACTCATATTTTCTGTTTTTGCTGTCAGCACAACTATATCGATGCTTAAAAATATATATGGCATATTGATGGAGAGAACACCAAGCGAGATTGATATCGCCGGACTAGAAAAAGGCATCAAGCGCATCAAAGGAGTTCGGGATGTTCACGACCTACACGTTTGGGCGCTAACGGTTGGAAAAACCGTGTTGTCTTGCCATGTAACGTCCGAGCCTGCCGTAAGCTCTAGTCAGATAATTGACAAGATTAGGGATTACTGTGAAAGTACTTACAGAATACATCATGTAACCATACAGATTGAATAGTACACTGCAGATTCAGAACATCATTTTGTTTGATATTATTAAATCCTACCCTTCGCCCTTTAAAGTTTACCACTAATCATGTTGACTTCTTGAGCAAGCGATTAAAATTTACGCATCCGGGTGTCCCAAAGAATTCAATACTTTTACCGTAGTGGCGGAAAAACAATCATGCTTATGCACCCTGATGTTGGTTTGATTCCCACTTATTTCCCTCCCGCCTAACGAAAAACCCTAATCCTAATCCTTATCGATTCAACGTTCCAGGCCTAGTTCATGAACTGTGCAATCCCAAAAAAAAAACCATGCACGGTGAAAGTGCCACCACCAGGAGAAACCACAAGCGATCCTAAGAGTGAAGGCAACAGAAAGAAAAGGGAAGGGTGCAGAAATGGGTCTAGAACGATACGACAAAGCGGGTATCAAAGCTTTTAATAAAATGGAAAAAGCAACTGAGAAACGAAACCCGAAAATCCAACTCCGAACAAACAAGGCTTCTTCTGTTCCATTGATTCTTTAATTTGAGATGCCAAGTTCCTCCAGACATTCCAAATTTCAGTAGTTACACTTGATAAAAAGCAAACATATAACAAATGGTGCATCAGAAGTAAACGCGGGCACTCAAAATGTACCAATACTACTGTCATTTTAATTTTCACAAAGCTTCCTTATCACAACTCGACGAATTAAACCTGTATTCTACATGCCTCCCTGTCACCCGAAAAAAAAGAAACTAAAAAGAGAAAAATCAATAGGGCTGCATCCAGTAAATAATTTCTCCAACTCTCCCTAGGTGTCATCTTTTATGTCGAGCAGCAACCTCTCTTGTTCGTATTCCCAGAAGCATCACCAACGCTGATGGTGGTTCCTTGACCAGGTAGGGTAGTTGAGACTGCTTCTTGGGCTGCCAGTGCTTTTTTGCTGACGATATGGTAGATCTCAGTTAGAATAGTTTGAAACGCTTTCTCAATGTTGGTTGCTTCCAGTGCGGATGTCTCGAGAAATGAGAGACCTTCCCTCTCAGCCAACGACTGACCATCGTCCTCTGAAACAGCTCTGAGATGGTTCAAGTCAGACTTGTTTCCTGTCATCATGATAACAATGTTCGAATCTGCATGGTCCCTCAACTCACGGAGCCACCTTTGGACATTCTCAAAAGTTGGTCGCTTAGTTATGTCATAAACAAGGAAAGCACCCACTGCCCCTCTATAGTAAGCACTGGTGATAGCACGGTATCGCTCCTGACCTGCCGTATCCCAGATCTGTGCCTTCACAGTCTTTCCCTCAACCTGTAATTTCAGAAAAGGAAGAGTGTAAGCATTACATCAGATTGTAAGCCATAATTCGCAAACCCACTTGTTATAAACAGACTTATTTCTACTCATCAACATGTTGAACGGTATGCTACAATGACAAGTGACAACTGTATGTTTGAAACTCGTAAACATGCTATGGGACCAGTGGTCCAGTCGACACCTTTCATATATACAACCGGGGAAGAAAATCTAGATCTTTCTTCAACCATGTCATATTCATATAGTTGAGTAACTTATCTGGCAAAAACACATTCATACAGTTGCCTACATATACAAAATTCAATCAATAGGCAGTACGACACACATAAGAAATCTAACTAACCAACGGTCTTTAAAAACGATAATATTGGGCAGTTAGTTAATACAACAACAACAACAAAGCCTTTTCCCACTAAGTGGGGGTCGGCTATATGAATCATAGAACGCCATTGCCCTCAGTTCTGTGTTGCGCGGGCAGTTAGTTAGTAGTTGCGTTTAATTAAGAATCAAACTTAAGCATCAACATGTAAGTGCTCATTAATCAACTCCTCTTTCTTGAACTCTGCAATCCACCCTTAGTGTGTTATATAAACTTAAAGATCAATAACAGCAAAATGATCAAACTCCTGGAGACAGAATCTACCAGCCAATTTTAGTGTAAAGTAAATCTCCTGTTCCGTCAAACAAAAAGACGACTGTTTATCCCAACGGTTCATCATGCTTATTTAGCCATTGATAACCATATAAAAACAAAGTACTAAAAAGGAGAATTCGAGCCCGCTCACCAGTCTATTAGTAACAAAATTTTCGATGTACTCCAATTAAACAACGTAAATCCCTACACAAAATCCAAACAATCATCACAATATCCAGGCCACCAAACAAAACTTCAACCAAAATAATTCAAACCCCCCCCCCCCCCCCGGAAATTTAAACTGCATAGGATCCAATCCATCACAAACAAATACCACAAAATCCAAACAATCATCACAATATCCAGGCCACCAAACAAAACTTCAACCAAAATAATTCAAACTCTGAAACAACACCCCCCCCCCCCCGCGGAAATTTAAACTGCATAGGATCCAATCCATCACAAACAAATACCGCATACACTGCGAACAAAATCAAACAATTGAAATACAAATCAACTCTCACACCAAGATTAAATTCAGTAAGCGAACTTGCCTGGAGAGTTCGGGTGGCGAACTCGACTCCGATAGTGGATTTGGACTCCAAGCAGAACTCATTCCTGGTAAATCTAGAGAGAATGTTAGATTTGCCCACACCAGAGTCACCGATCAACACGATCTTGAACAGGTAGTCGTATTCGTGGTCTACTCTACTCGCCATGCCGCCCTCTCTCCTCTCCGATCTCCACAACCTATACAAACATACACACACACACAAAAATTCAAATCCATAAAAAATCACACAAATACACAAACAAATCTATCTCTCTCTCTCACTGTAACCTATACATACACAAACAGTTATATCTATAGATCTCGCTTACCCGCAGGCGAATCGACCGAGGAGAGAACGCGATCGGAGCGTTCGATCGGAGGAAGCGAAGGAATTGGAGATGGAAGAGAAAATGGGAAGAAACGGAGACAACGATGAGCGGACGAGAAGACGGGGGCTTTTGAAAGTTGAAACGGCAAATAAATAGATTCTGTTTTTTTGGTGGGCGAAACGATGGCGTTTTGGTGACAACTGGGGATTATTGATTCGTCTAGAGTGACACAGTAGGCAGCCTGGCCTGGCGGGCCGGTGCCAGAGGGATAATTTTAATTTTAAAATTTTAAAATTTAAATTTTTTTTAGTGTTTTCCCACGCCGTAATTAATTAATTGGTTAATTTGGATTTGTTTGCGGTTCGGACAGCCGCCAGAGGTAGAGTGGACGGCTGATTATTTCCAAATATGCGGATAAATTGTGCGTTGACGACTTGCACTAGTTATTTATCTTTTGTTTTCTTAATAATGATGATGACGTTGACAAAGCATGAATTAGTGTTGATGGATGTCCGATTTTGTTTGATTAGGCATCAAATTGCACATTAATGTGTGTAACATCTTGATTCTGATTAATTCATTTTAAGCTCAAGTTATACAAATTAGCTTTTTTCCTAGCCTTGCCTGCACTACCGGGTTTTATACCTTACTTTATTTCGATATTGATGATCGATGTGAAATTAATTGCTTCTGTTGTCTACAATGTACGATGTAGCTAAATATATATAAGTGTAGATTTGTTTTAGGGAAGAATGCATAGCTTAGGCTTTATTTGAGTGTGTGTAAAGTAAAGAAAACCGTGAATGATGTTTTGAATCATTCCAATAATTTAGTTACGTTTCATCATTGGATGTGTGAGTGAGTAATCATACACTCATGTCAGGTCAAAAATGTAATAATAAAACCGTACAATTATTTAGGTCCCTACTCATCAATTTTCTGAATATTGCCACAAAAATCATCACGTTGACTTGTGTATACATCAATATCTTAATGATTTGGGTGGTAAACCAGTATTTCTCTATACAAAATGAGTATGTAGTTTGACTGGTTAAGAGCGTTTACTTTTGTATTTTGAACTTCGAGTTCATGCTTTCAAAATTCGAGTTCCTCATCTCAACACTGCTTATGACCGGAAGTGTTGTTTTTTTATTTGAACAAACGATATTATCAATATTAAGGGTGAGGGAGGGAGTGGGCTAAACCTTACAATGGGCTAGCAATAATGTGGTTCAAATTTGCCTTTGGCGATAATCGAACTTAAGATCTCTCATTTACAAGTGAAGAGGAATATTACTAGACCGTAATATTAAGTGGTAAAAAAAAAAGTGTTAACGTACAAATAATTCAGATAAATGCTAGTGAGACTCTTTTGAAACTAAAACTCTCTATGAACTCTTTGCTACCTCATTTGCACAATATTTTATAATATTGACACAAAAATTAACTGTGAATGATAAAAAATTCATGAAGAGTTCTAATTTGAGAAAGAGTCTCCTTAGCATTTCTCAATAATCCATCCAAAATGCAGTCCACTAACACAAATTGAGGATCAAAGTGGAACAACCACTAAAAGTAAGGGGCACAAATTGTAATTAGCTTAGATCCTATTGGGAACCGATGCCTGGCAAATATTGATGTTACCCTCCTAAGTTTGCTGCTCCCAGAAAATCCATCTCTCAGCTTCTACCGCAAAGATGAAGAAGGAAGACACAGTGAAGCTGATCAGCGCCGAGGGGTTCGAGTTCGTGATCCACAAAGACGCCGCCATGGTCTCTCAGACCATCCGCAACATGCTCACTTCTCCAGGTATTAAGGTTTGAAATTGATTTTAGTTGGAGCAGCAAGTTGGGGGATTAGGGTTTGAAATTGCAAGGTGAAATCTTTTTTTGTTTTTTGTTGGTAGGGAGTTTTTCTGAAACGGAGCACGGCGAGGTGACGTTCCCGGAGATCAGCACCACCATTCTTGAGAAGATCTGCAAGTACTTTTACTGGAACCTTCAATATGCCAGGTTCAGATTCTCCCTCTTAATTTATTTTTTTGTTTAATTATTTAAATTTTAAATTTATTCGCTTTTGTTATAATATTTGAGGTATTTACATGTCAATGCTTAGAAGATTGATGGGTTTCTTCTGAATTGGAATTTATATTGATCAATGTGTAAAGTTAGTGGGGATGATGTTCTCTAGACTGTCTTGTTGCTAGGCTGTCATTGTAGACCTTACATTCGAACAAAAACGCAGTCAGCCAATCAATCGTT